ATTTGGGAATTGATTTGCGCTTGGATGTTGTTGGAGAATCTGTTAAAGCAGAAAAGAAGTATAAATGATGTTCGATACTGGCCAATTCCAACGGTGGTAGCCACGAACATACTGAAAACATGTCCAAAGCTGGACGGAACAGTAGGCAGGGCTAGCGTGCACCACCATCTTCTTAATCAGTGAGCAGCATCTGGTCCCGTTGACTGCAGTGTTGCATAAGTGGAATAGCGAAAGATTACATTTGGATTGAAATTCATTTAAGCCATTTTGTAATAAAAATGTGCTAGTTCGCGCTAAAATGGTTTTGGTCGGTCTTACTCTACAAAGGTAGCGGGTTGAAATCCGAATTAGTCAATGGAGCTTTCCAGTTATTAAAAATTATATGGAATAAGAAATGATTGTATTGACAGTACTCCAACTGAAACGATAGTGCGATCTACGAAACCTTTTAACACCAGGATGGCATGGTATGTTCATATTATAATTAACAACTTCTGGTTATGCTACTGAATGAATGTGCCTCATATTGCATAGCTGGTTTTACTCGTTTCATTCTTATCGAATAATTCAATTCATGGTTGAACCTTGGAAGGAAAAACCAACAGAAACTGTAGGTAAACACGAGCTTTGCTAGCTGCTTTATTTAACAGACTACCGCTAAAACAATATTTCAAGAACTTTTACATTTAACAAAGTCAGTTATTCCGCTCCGTGTTTACTTTACATGAATTTTAATAGTATATTTTAGAACCGCTCAAGACTTTTTCAACAGCATTGGACTATTCAACATGACACCTGAATTTTGGAAATACTCCATGCTGGAAAAGCCTAAGAACAGATCAGTTGACTGCTGGCCAACGGCTGAAGATTTTGGCAACAGAAAGGATTTTACTATCAAGATGTGCACTGTTGTTAACATGATAGATCTGGTCACTGTACACCACGAAATGGGTCACATCGAGTATTACATGTCGTATATGAACCAGCCGCTGGAATTCAAAGAAGGTGCAAATCCGGGATTTCATGAAGCCATAGGCGACACCATTGCACTATCAGTTAATACTCCAAATCACTTGGAAAGTATTGGTTTGCTCCAACAGACCGAAGAGAAAGACAGAAAGAAGCAACATTTGAACTTCCTCTATAACATGGCGTTAAGCAAAATAGCGTTTCTTCCATTCGGATATCTGATCGATTTGTACAGATGGAAAATTTTCAGTGGCTCAGTGCCTTCGGACCAATGGAATACCGAATGGTGGAAACTGCGATATAAGTATCAAGGATTGGTTCCGCCTGTTCCAAGAACGAACCGCGATTTTGATGCTGGCGCCAAATATCACGTGCCTAATGACGTTCCGTACATAAGATATTTCGTAGCAGCCATTATACAATTTCAGTTCCAGAAAGCGCTCTGCGAAGCGGCTGGCCACAAGGGTGCCCTAAGTGACTGCGATATTTACAAAAGTAAAGCAGCAGGAACAAAATTGAAAAACATGTTGTCGATGGGCTCGTCTAAACCGTGGCAAGATGCGATGGAAGTGATCGCGAATACAAGAAAAATGTCAGCCCAGCCGATGTTAGAGTACTTCAAAGAGATCAGAGATTGGTTACATCAGCGGAATAGTGAAGCTGGCGATTGTTACGGATGGGGATATGAATGGCCGGCATCATACAATCTTCCGCAACCTAGATGTGGCAAATTTGTCCAACCGTTACCAGGTAGCTCGTTAATGAGCGCATATATAGTCGTCAGTTTTAAAGAAACAACAACGCCGTTTTTGTGATAAACAGCTAATATTCTTAGGACTGCCATCAACTTATATTTCCCATGAATTTACCCATGAATCATGCCCTGGCGCTTATTTCTCAGGTAGTCGCGAGTAATTCTAGGGCTTTATGTTCAATGGTAACGAAAGTTTATTCCTATGAAACCTAGAGTCATTGATTTTCTTGTCGAACAAGACCTCATTCTGGCAGTTTGGATGTCCAGTTTTAAGCTCAAAGTCAAGGCCGCTAAACTTCCAGCTATCCTACACTCTCACACTGGTTTCACTTCTCCCTTACTTTCTGTTGTCAC